TGGGTAGTGACCACTATATGTGGGTTGCATAACATTTTTTTTATAAGAGTCTTGTACAAATTTTTTGAGACACTCTGGCACTGCCATTGTTTGTGGCAGGTCCTTGAAATTCAGTAGAGGGAAGCTCTGAGGCTAGGAAATGCTTTTCCTTTGTCCCATGAAATTCCATCCAGGTCTAGTTGAATTATAAAAGCATTTAAAATCACCCCTCTGTTGTTTGTATGCCTTAGGAAAACCTGATATCCTACCAAAATGATAACTATCCACAAACATTCCAAAGAGCCAGGTTTACAACACCAACAATGCAGTATCATTATCAGACACTGCACTGGGAATGCTTGGGTACCGATGGAAGAAATGAAGTAAGTGGGGGAACTGTAAGGGTAGATTTCTGCTACCTTCCCCATCCCCAGCACGTGGACCTTGTGGCCAATTTCTCTTCCTCCCTGCATGTGCATTCCGCAGGTTATAGGCTTCTCCTGCTGTCATCTAATGTTAATCCCCTAGTTCAAGTGGTAGAAGACTGTGCTGAAGTTTCAGGCTTGCAATTCTGCTTGCACTGTTAGGATGTGTGTGGGGGGGAGGGGGTTGTAGAGAGCAGGACTGCTACAATTGCGCACAATGTAATTTGTTTTAACAGTCTTTTTTAAAAGCTAGGAAATGAGCTATATATATACATAATACACATTATTTAGGTTGCAAAATCAAGCATTCAGCTTTAGGAAATGCCAGGTCTACAGATGCCCACACAATCTTAATTTGGCTTTGTTGTGCATATGCATTATGATCCAGTCTTTAATTACAAGATCACATATCTAAACTTGGTTCAGAGCCAATGATGGACGTATAAGGGAGCTGAATTAAGGTTGCATGGACAGCCTTAAATCTTGCATTTCCTAGCTTTTGTGTGCTTAATTTGGTCAATCTAAAAATGGTCTATTAAAGCAGTATTTTTGTATGAAGTGTCATCAACACTGTCAGGTAGTAGCAAATATAGAACATAGAAGCTAAAGATGGAAAAAGACTTCTTTAGATTATTGAATTTGTTTTCTTGGATAAATGAGAAGAGTAAATTGATTAAAACTTTTGTTAGAAAATATTTAAAATTATAAAACACACATGTTATTGAATATGTATTACAAATACCCAAGGCATGTTGGTTAATGTTCAGCAAAAAAGAATGACAAAATAAGAGAAAAAATACACACCAGCAATTGGCCGGATGGGCAGAATAAACTGATAAGAAGAGATTTAATTTGTTAAATTAAAGCTAACATTAAAATTATCTAATACACAGGTTAAGGAAAGAGTCTCTATACATCTGGTTATAATGCTTAAATTGTCCAAAAATATAAAGTTTGGTTTAAAAGTCATAATTAAATATATATATGTAGTGCATAATCTGCAATATCTCAAATTAAGGTTAATAAATTCAGCAATACAGCTAAAGTGCTAGCATCCAAATATTTGGGCACATCTCTCATAAAAAAGAATAGCACGTGGAAAGCAAATATGGCAAGGAATGTAACTTGTCCCTCAGCAGTAATTGAGAATTTAGAATATGTTGCCAAAAAGCAAGAAAACATAGGCAGCTGAAGGGGAAATTTCTTTGTTCTCAGAGAAACAGCCTTATTGTTTTCTTTGCCTTCAGTTCTGCATAGTTCTTGTTTCAGATGGACATTTTGGCTCCTTATCTTGAGGAATCTTTAGCTTGTTTATTGAAATGTACACACTCATGAAGAAATAGATACCCATGGGGATGTACATACTGTGCTCATGCACAGGCGCGCACACAAACACACGCACACACCTGTAATCATGCCATATATAGACACACGTTGCACACTCATAAATATTTGCTGCCCTTGCATTCTTTCCTTGATTTGCATGCTTGTTCTTTCCACTGTCGCTAATGGGAGCTGTTTCATATGATGAGAGGAGAAGGGAGGCCTTTGTATATTAAACAGGAGATCTAATCTTTTTTAACTGCTGGAAGAATTGCCCATATTTTACTTTGGAAATGATTAGACGCAATGCAGATTGATCTGTGCTTGGAATGGCCTTTTTCTGTCTTTCTTTACTGGGAAGTTCCATACTTGGCGTTGTGATGCCAGTGAATGGACAACCAGATACTCCTGCCTCTTGCAGCAAACTGGACTCTGGTTGAGCAATTTTTAAAAATTTAGTTAGTTTTTGTTTTTGTTAATGTGAAGGGAAGTAGATGATATTTCTTTTACTCATTGGACAATAAAACAAAATAGTTATGGCCCCTATTTTTTTTTTGCATGTGCTTTCCTGATCCAAAAGAGTTTTCACCAGCCTGCAGTGTATTTGCTGTTGATAAAAATATCTGTGGTCTGTCAAAACCATATTTTTCCTGATGGGATTTCTAAACCCTGACATCATCATCTTATGGTGCATGTGTACAGTATGTTTGTGTGTTCATTGTGTATGTGTATAAATGTTATGCATGTTTTAAATATCTCCCCCTCCCTGCGTCCACAAAGTCAATCCAATAATTAGTCTGAGCAAAAGAAACCTGTCTCTATCTGTGATGCAGGCATAAAACGTCTGTTCTCACCCTGCCTACTGTTAATGAGCTAGAGACAGGTAAGCATCACACATACCAACTTTCCTGCCTTCAGCAACATCAAGGAAGCAGTGACAAGCTATTAATGGAATGTGATGGACCCAGTGCTAATTAGTGCTTCCTTTTCAACTTTTACCTACACGTGCACCAAGATCTCCAAACCTGCCTTTCCCCTAAGCTTAGATCCCTTTGTTTTCCATATGTTTCTCTTCACAAAGATAAATCCATTACTGAATAAGTGAAGGCATCTTTTATTTCCCAAGTCATCCTGCCAACTCCCATTTGGTTCATACAAAATTCTTTGGGTATCACTTCTCTCTTCTCCCCATTCTCACACTCAGTAATTTCTGTACTAATCTTATGTCCCAAGGCCACCCAGAGCAAAAGTGACCTCCTTCTGCTGCGGGGAAGTGGGCTTGGTACTTTAGCAGGATCAGAGACCCATACAGGGGCATAGACAGTCTCCTATCCATGACAAATATTCACTTCTGGTCAACAGAGTGTATCTAGATTCCAGAGACACCAACGTATTTGTTTCTTCTTTTTGTTCTTCCTCCTATGTGTCTATTTTTGAGATATATATAAGGTCCCCAGCATCATAACATTTGAGGATTTTCCAGAGAGAAGTTTTCCCCAGAGAAAAAGCATTTGGGACCAAGAAACTTCTTGCAGTCTGCAGAGGGGAGGGTATAACCCTCTTACATCAAACACTACTGTGTTCTGCAGTAGTGACCCCCCAATAACACTGACATGATGGTATTGTTTTATAAGCAGGGCATAGGATCAGGGGCTCAGTATGATGTCACCAGTCCAGTGGACAGTGCTAGCATGAGGAAGACACCTGTCCAGCTTAGGTTCTCAGTTACTGAACAGTTATTGCACATTTTTATTGAGAAAGCACCTAGAAACCAACTAAATGTGAAGTGCTGTGCAAACATTCTGGAAATGAGAGCTCATGCCCCAAAGAGTTTACATCTGAACCAGTGCAGAGTTCCTGGTTCTTGGTGCATCTGTCACTTCTCACTGGAAGCTGATTAAAACTAGACAGGGCTGAAGTCCACCAAAACATCTGGGCTTGCAATAAATACACACCCCTGCCCTGCACACTTGTGGATAGAGACTTCCTCCCGGCCTGTACTCTGGACTCTTCCCTGAGCCATAATCTTGATCTTCCTTTCTCATCCCCTATGCATGGACTTTTGGTTTCTCACTGCTGTGTCAGGTCCCTTTACTGGATCCCAAGGAGCCTGTCTTAATCTGCTCCTGCTATTTGTAGTCACAGTCCGCAGACAGCGTAGCTTGGCAGAGACCCTAGCAGGGCAGCAGGCAGAGGCTGCCGAGGTTTGCACATTAACTAATTAACTTTCATGACTGAACTGTGTTGCCTGGTCTTTTTTTCTGCATCCTCTCCTTCTTTGCATGCCCCCCCAAACACACGTGTGGACATGTATATAGATTTTTGCTGGCTTTCAAAGCCTTCCACAGCCTTGAAATGCAAAGTTATTCTGTTTGTTTTCTGAGCGGGGTTTCCCTACTATGTGGTACATGGGGCTCCCGGTTTCACATTAACTGAATCTTATTAAATCCAATGCACAAAGGCCAGTTGCCCCCATCAAAACCCTCTGCTGCACCCCATCCATAAATCCAACCTGAGAACAAAGTCTTCTGTGCCTGGGACCATCTTTCCACCCTGCCTGCCTGATCACTCCCCTCCCGCCCCTCCATGCTGAAGGCTTCTTCGTGCTAGGAAGATATGATAATTCTTGGGGAGAGAGCATGAAATGCCTCTGCTCTTTGTGTCTGTTTAATTCAATGAGAATCCCAGCTTCGCACGTCATGAATGGTGGCTTTGTGCTGGCCTTTCCTGAGCTCCAACTGCCAGCCCTGCTCCCTGCCTCCAGTTTCCCACCATTGGATACTGATTAACAAACTAAATTATTTTTCTTCCCTAATGATGTTTTCCCACTTTGCCCACCAGGCTGGAAGAAGCCATGGGGAGGAAAGGATTCATGCAAAGGATGAGCTATCCAGAGAGAAAATTAAAGAGACAGTGTTGCTCTCTGGGCTCTGGCTGCACAAATCCACTTTGCTTTATTTCCTTATTAGTGGAAATGATAGTGTCTTGCTGCTTTTTGCATGGCTGCATGTGTTTCAATGAGGGACTGGTATCCAAATGCATTTGCATGAGATGTGCTACGAAGCATGTATGTAAGTGCCTCATATACACACAATTATAAGTGTGCACATATATGTGTATGTGATATAAATCTGTGTGTGTGTGAGGGGGTCCCAAATCTTAGGTCTGTTTGCAGCCATTTCTCTGGGAATGACATCCAGTAGTTACTTGACTTGCATCCATATGTGTGGGAGCATCTTTTTAATTGAGATTAATTGTCTCTTCTTTAATCAGACTTGACGGAAAGTTCATGGAGTGGGATGTCATGGGAAGAGACAGGTCTTCTCTGTGGGGACAAGTGGAGGTGAGTCAATAAACCTAGTTGTTAGAGGATAAGTTGAACTTAAGCACTGGAGGCCTGATCCTCAAACTCCCCCCACCTTGCTATTAGCCAAACCTCCCCAGCTAGTCTTTAGAAACTGGGCCATCTGTTTGCTGTTACTATGTACGACAGGAAGCAATAATTCCAAATGCCCTACATAGTATGGGAGGTGGGAATCAAAGGCAGGTAAGGATGCAGCCAGCCACTTTTTGAAGCATAGCAGTGCATCTCTTGCTTTCTTGTCAACAGAGAAGAAAAACAGCATGTAGAAATTTTTGTATTTTTAAAAGAAAATGATTGAGGGGGGGGGGGGGGGGGGAGAGGACACAACACCTCCTTTTAAATTCTGTTTAACAAAACCAGGAGATGTGAAATGTTGGTTTTATCGGGTTATTCTGAATCATGGAGACTGGATTGCTCTGTTTATTCACTGTATTGTGTGATATGAGCCTCTACAGAGCAAGTTTTCTCATATCTGCCCAGAAATGTGTCTCGAATATGAACTGAAGTTAGCACTCCCAGCGGGGACAGGGAACAGCAGGTCCAGCTGATCTCTGTGGGTCTGCTCAGCAGAGAAGGCAAAGGGGCCACATAATACTAGTGTTAGAGATGTGTACACTTGCTAGCTAAGCAGTGGGCAAAGATCACATGTTCATTTCCCAAGGGGCACTGGGTGGGTGTCAGATGGGAACAACCATATTGTAACAAGCAAGGCCTACTCTGCCATGTCAAGAGAAGGACCACTGGTTCTTTCAGTGCAACTCTATGGCTATTTCTAGACTGCAAGCCTCTTTCGAAAGAGCATGTAGACTACAACCAATATTTTTGAAAAAGAAAGTTGCTTTTTCGAAAGAGAGCACCCAGGCAGTCTGGATGCTCTCTTTCAAAAAAGCACAGTTTGCATTACATAGCGCCTTTTTTTGAAAGAGCACTTTCGAAAAAAGGCATTCTTCCTTGTAAAATGAGGTTTTCTGCAGTTAAAAAAACTGCCGCGTTCTTTCAATTTACTTTTGAAAGAACACAGCAACAGTCTAGACGCAGGGAAAGTTTTTTTTAGAAAAAAGGCCACTTTTTTCGGAAAAAGCCCTGTAGACTAGACACACCCTGCATGTGGTTACTACAATGGAAGTGAGGTGTAGACAGAACTCGTGTGCTCTTTGTGCCTGTTTGGAGCAGGGATGGGCAACATGGAAATAAAAATACCTGACCCCTGTCTATTTACTGCTGCTAATGGGTAGATGAAGTTGCTTTGGTAGAAAAAGACTGGGCCCATTTTTGGTTTAGACATAGCCTGAGAGAATAAATTGATCGGGATCTAGCAGATCATGGCTTGCAAACCAGTTTGATGCTAGTCAATCCAGGAAAACACCATATTTTGTGCTGCCCTTCCACCACAGTCCTAATCACTGTTATTGCTTTTGCAAGGTAGAATAGGAAAGGAAAGATGCCCATGCAATGTTGTTGTTTTTTCATGCACTGGGATTTATTAAGAAACAGGGAGAATCAATAGAGCTCTGCATGGATACAGAATTGGTATCCACATCTGAATCTGCAAAAATGATCCATGGATATCCGCATCCATTTCCACAGAGGTAAAACAGATATCTGCAAATATGCAGGGTTCTAGATACAAAATCTGCATCTGTATCCGCCAAAATGCATCGTGTATATTGGCATCAACATGGTGGATGCAGATGTCTATGGATATAAAGAAGAAATCTGCAGATTTGCAGGGTTCTAGGAATCATTCCATCTATATGGAATACACTGCAGGGAGCAGTGGGATAAAGCGCTTATTCTGTGCTTGAAAGATAAAACTATAACTCACAGGAGGCAAAACCCTTTGGAATCATGTCCCCTTACATGTGCAACTACTTTAGACCATGGCAACCCCTAAGGTATTTCATTTATGTGTACAGGTTGAACTTCTATAGTCCAGCACTCTTGGGATTTGACCGGTGCCGAATCAAAGAATTTGCTGAACCTTGGGAGGTCAATTCCGTTGCTTTCTGGGCTCTTAGAAGACATTTAGGAATAAATTAGAGCTAAATAACAGCACAGAACACTGAGAGCCAGGACTAGTGGCTATAACACTTTATGGGACAGAGGGAAATTTGGCCACACTCATAATAAATGGACATCTGGAAAACTAATATCATGTGGGACCACGGATATTGCCAGACCAGAGAGTGCCAAACTAGAGAGGTTCAACCTGTAGTATTTTCCCCCTCCTTTTTGGAAGAGATTTCCCTCATTAAAATGAATCTTTTTGGGCCATCAGTTCCAAGAGGTCTCAATGTAGGTTTTCTTAAGCCTCTAGATAAGGAATTGGGGAGAAGGGGGGGAATATGTCTTGCTACCTGGATGGTCTCTCTCCCTGGAAATCTTGGAATGAAAAGCTTAGGACATAAGTTAGTAGGTCTAGGAGAGTATTAGTTTTTTTAAAAAACCTTTGATGTGAGTATGTGGGGATGATCTATACTGAAACAATAGCTGCCTTTGCACTAAGTCTACTCTCACTCAGTCTGAGTGGCAGGTGGCAGGGTGGGGAGGTGGATCTTCTCATCTGAGCAGAATTCAGGCAGATGTGGATAGGGTGAGAGAATGCTTTGAAGCAGCTTGGAAAGGCTTAACAAGCGCTGATCAAAGTAGGGATGTAATAGTGTAGTCAATTAACTGATTAACCAATAAGCAAAAGCTTATGGGTTAATGCTGTAGACTACGCACATTTCCTCTCTCCTGCCAGTACATTTTTTAGCAAGCTGGCCAGCAGCCTGGCTCAGTCTTGGCTTGCACCAGGTCTGGGACCTACCTCCACTGCGGCTCTGCATTTAATGTGTATTTGGAGCCAGGCGTGCAGGTGTTCCAGCTCACATTGGGTCCAGGAGCTCAAACCCCCACTGGACAGGGGCTGCTGCTACCCCACACCGCTGCCTCTGTATCAGAGGGAGCAGCACAGGGTGACAGGCAGCTGGTCTATGAAGGGAGCTGGTTTTTAAACTGGCTCCTTTCGCAAACCAGCTCCTGCCTGGCACCCTGCATTGCTGCCTTTGATACAGAGGCAGCAGCATGGAAGGCAGGGGGCTCCTCGGGAGTGGGGCCAGAGCATACTGGCTGCTGGCCCTGCCCCTGGGGATTATAGAATAGTCGAGTAACCGATAAGAATTCATGAGGTTAATCAACTATTCAATTAACTGATATTTAACATCCCCAGATCAAAGTGCACAAGAGATGCACAATGACTGAGCAAAGAGGGATACAATTGCCCTCCTGAGAACAGAAGGCTGGGGAGGTTATGCAGCATTGCCCACACAGGGTTAATTCTGTCACCCAAATCAAAAGGAGATGTAGTGGGAATGTTTTATTAATTAAACCAGCCCTTTGTGAGCATTCATCTCGACGCACATATTCACCACCATACTCATCCTCCTTTGGCGACTGTCTGGCCCAGTGTCTCACTCTGTATCCACCCTTCTTCCAATTACCCACTTTCAGGCTTTATCCTTATGGTTATCTGAGTCTTGACTAATGCGGCATCACTGAATGACACTGGGTGGGAGAGTGGGGAGGCCCAGTAGGGGAAGAGACCATTTCATCTGAAAGGCTATGTCTAGACTGCAAGCCTCTTTCGAAAGAGGCTCCTTCGAAAGTATCTTTCGAAAGAGCCTCTTTCGAAAGAGAGCATCTAGACTGCACGCGGAATTTCGAAAAAGCAAGCCGCTTTTTCGAAAGAAAGCACCCAGTGAGTCTGGATGCTCTCTTTCTAAAAAACCTGTTTGCTTTCAAGAACGCCTTCTTTCGAAAGAGCACTTTCGAAAGAAGGCATTCTTCCTCGTGGAATTAGGTTTACCACCGTCGAAAGAAAAGCCGCATTCTTTCGATTTAATTTCGAAAGAACGCGGCTGCAGTCTAGACGCAGGTGAAGTTTTTTCGAAAAAAGGCTACTTTTTTCGAAAAACCCCCTGAGTCTGGACACAGCCAAAGCCATAACATGCCTTGTAGACTGCATGGCCCCAAAAGGGCAAAAGCAGCTGCAGCAGACAAAGCTTAAAAGAACATGGTGTAATATCGATAACACACGTCACATGGTCCTTCAGGTTTCTGGTGCAGCAGTTCCCATGTCCGTTACGGCTACATCCTGTGTCTCTGTTAGAACAGTGAGAAGCCCTGGTTTGTGGAGAAAAAGTGGCTATGTTGAGAGGTATAGTTTTTGCAGGGACTGGAGAGCTCATACTGTCCTGGGGTGCCCTTGGTGAGGGGAACTGAGGCTGCATGCTAGAGTCCAGATTTCCCTACCAACAGTAACGCCACTCACCCCATTGTATGTCTGTTCCAAAAGGTAACCGCTTAGTACAAAAAAGGAAAGGGAATTTCAAAAGTGCTAGGGAAGATGGAGCAGCGACCAGCCATGCCAGGTGGGTAGAAGGGCAGCAGCATTAGGAAGTAACAACTACAGGACTTGTTTTCACTGCCTTCTCCAACTCCTGCTGCCCTTTCCTCGTACTCCAAGCATCTGAAGACACATTGCAGCTTGGTTTTGGTAAAGAAAGAGGGCTGTGGGCAGAGTTGTCTCCTCTTGCTTTGATAAAAATAAAATATATTTTATGAGAATTGCTTTAGAACGGAAAAGAAATTGAGCTCCAGTCCCAAAGCAGCCTAAGAAGATTTTTGTGTTTGTGCCCTTTGCCTCTTCAAACACAAAACCTGGGGGCTGCTGGACTTGGAAAAGCTGGGTGGAACAGGGAAGAGAAACCTGTCCTTCTGTTGCTCCTTCCCTGAAGGAAACCTCTTAGGGCTAATGTTTGATGTGATGTTTAGTTGTACTACTCAGAAACCTCCAAATGTCAGGGGCTGGGATACAGCAGGGAACCAAACAGGGCTGTATTTTCATTTGCATATGAATGTCTGTTTATATAAATGTTAGGTATATGCCACTTACGTAAGCATACATATACACAAATATAGGAGCAAACATGGGATCACTCAAATTTGGAGACTCACACACAGCTACCCTAGCATTCCCTGTTCAGTGACATACTCAGTTCAGAATGTATGATAGGACTCTCCTAGGAGGTGCAGTAAGTCCCTTCCCCTATCTACATTTAGGCCGTGTCCACACTCAGGGGTTCTTTCGAAAAAAGTACCCTTTTTTCGAAAGAACTTCCCCTGCATCCAGACTCAAGCCGCGTTCTTTCGAAATTATTTCGAAAGAACGTGGCTTTTCTTTCGATGGCGGTAAACCTCGTTTCACGAGGAAGAACGCCTTCCTTCGAAAGTTCCTCTTTCGAAGGAAGGCGTTCTTCAATGTAAAGAGGCCGTCTTCGAAAGAGAGCATCCAGACTCGCTGGGTGCTCTCTTTCGAAAAAGCGGATTTTTCTTTCGAAAGATCCGCCTGCAGTCTAGACGCGATCTTTCGAAAGAGGCTCTTTCGAAAGATGCTTTCGAAAGAGCCTCTTTCGAAAGAAGCCTGCAGTCTAGACACAGCCCTAGAGATCAATTAAAATATAAGGAATACCTCAATATTTTATTCCACATTTTCATTCTAAAATATGATTCTCCCACATCCCTGCAAAATTTGCATACGTAATATTGTTTTATAAGAAGGTTCAAACAGATTATTGTGTAGTCAAAATGCCAAGCCATTGTGTCTGTACTCCTTTGGGTTGGCAGACTTGCATCACAAGAAAGCAGGGAGTGACAGTGTTTTTTGTCATAATGGAAGGGTCAGGGTTATATTAAGTATGGCAAGGTGACTTGAAAAGCCTGCTCTACATGGGCCATCCCACCGATATAAGGTAGGGTGCCAATTTAAATGGTTATAGTTATACTTCTGGCCATAGATCGTCTGGCCAGCTAGTGGCTGAGGGACTGGCTAGAACAACTTGATTGGCATGTTGTGATTGGTGCTCTCTGAGGGCTGAAGGACTGATCAATCATAGTGATAGTTATACTGGTAGGACTCTCCATGAGGACATTTAGTTCAGTAGATGAGGGCCTATTTCTGGTTTATCTTATATCGCGTTTAGAAGCAATTTAAATTAAACCAGAATAAACCATTCTTATAGAATAAAAGTGTGCACACCGGGTACGTCTGCGCAGTAGGGCAAAAGTCTAATTAAACTATGCAACTTCAACTACGTCATTTGCATAGCTTAAGTCAAAATAGCTTAATTCGGCTTTTGGCGCTATCTACACAGCAGGAAGTCGAAGAAAGAACACTCTTCCTTCAAATTCCTTACGCCTTGTGAAATGAGGGTCATAGAAGTCAGAGTAAAAAGCCCTACAGCTTGACATTATTTCAAAATACAGGCTTGTAGTGTAGACGCACACTATGTTATTTTGGAATAACCTCGGTTATTCAGAAATAACGCTGCCGTGTAGACGTACCCACAGAGTTTTAGCAGTTTAACTATATTGGTATGATTAGAGTTTAAATTCCTTTGTAGGCAAGCCCAGGATTTAGGAGCGAGCCATCTGTCCCTTTTGTTTAACTGCCTAACAAAGGTCTGCATGAGGCACAAAACTCCCGATGTCTGTGAGTATATAATCCCCATCCTTTTAGAGAACTATCAGCTGCACACATAGATTCAGCAAGGTACCTAAGCACTTCTGAAGCTAAAGATATATTTCACATTTCTCTAATGTCACCTTTCATGTAAGCAATTGTTGTAAATTGTCTTAGGGATGGGATTCAATCTTGAATGGGAGGGGTTGTGTTTAAGAGACAATTTCTCTTTAAGAGAAAGTCTGTGCTATTTCAAACTTGCTCTCCCACCCCCCTCAAAGTTTAGGAACACTTGACTACATCATTAAATCTCTAGGAAGTACAAGGTGGCTGAGTCAGTGTTGCTGGTGTAACCTTAATGTTTGCATTTTCTGACTTATTTTATTTTGACTCTAGCATTGCAATAATATAGGGCTGGGGGTGGATTATATTTAATTTGCTTGGTTTTTTAAAGGAAAAGAGAGAGAGAATTTGCATATGGTTAATAATATTAAATCCATCCACAGAGCAGAGCTCATATTCTTTCCTGGTCTCTAAACATGGATCAGCTAAATTTCTAAATGTGTAGGTGCTTCCTTTTTTGTGTGCAAAATCCCACATCTGAGATAATAAAATCGGTAAATGAATGCACAAATGGGTGGTGAGACTTGCCATTACCCCTTTTAAATGTCTTCACAAACATGCTGAAAATGCTGACCCATATGCATAAGTAGCTGCTGTTGCTCCCACTTACATTGAATTGTGACTCCAGACACAGTGAAAATTTAATGGAGAGAGTTAAAATTAATCAAAGAGCGTGTGCAAGGCATTTCACACCACCTACCATGACATGTGAAGAACTTACATGGGGTTTAAGGACCCTGGCAGTCTGGTAAATTTTATTCAGAGTCAAAGTGTGCATTGATAAAAAAATTATTTCACTATTAGCTAAATCCTTGGACGTCAGCAGGAGTCATACATGGGTAAGGAGGACTGAAAGAAAACAAAGGGCTATGGGATTTGACCCTAGATGAGTTACATTGACATAACAAACCATCATTTTTGGAAGCCTAGCCTTGAAATTATAAGGGCCTGGGTTTTACATTCCAAAAATAATAGAAATGTGAGCTCCCCTTTCTTTTGACCCAAACCTTGTCCAGAAAATGTTCTACTGACCAGCTGGATAGCTCTCTACTCTACCTCTTTCTCCTATAGCCAGCCTTCTTACTGTGTACAAATATTTAAGGAATCTGGTATTGTACAGAATAGCATTAAATATGTCTGGATCTCTGATATGGAGTTTATGTAACATGTATTCAATACAGGCCTTATCCTGCAGTCATTATGCATAGACTGCAGTGGGAGTTGTGACTGCACAAGAAGGCTGTGTCTAGCCTGGCAAGTTTTTCCTCAAATGCAGCTGCTTTTGTGGAAAAACTTGCCAGCTGTCTACACTGGCCGCTTGAATTTCCGCAAGAACACTGACTTCCTACTGTCTGAAATCAGTGCTTCTTGCGGAAATACTATGCTGCTCTCATTCGGGCAAAAGTCCAAAAAGACCAGTGTAGACAGCTCAGATTTGTTTTGCGCAAAAAAGCCCCGATCGTGAAAATGTCAATCGGGGCTTTTTTGCGCAAAAGTGCGTCTAGATTGGCATGGACGCTTTTCCGCAAAAAGTGCTTTTGCGGAAAAGTGTCCGTGCCAATCTAGACGCTCTTTTCCGCAAATGCTTTTAATGGAAAAGTTTTCCGTTAAAAGCATTTGCGGAAAATCATGCCAGTCTAGATGTAGCCGAACTGTACATTCATGCCCTATATCTATATTTGCTTTTGTACCTTATTGGGAGGGTTCCCAAATCCCAACCCTAACTTTAGCAGTCAGGGTATAGTGTGTGGTTCCTCCAAAATGTACCTGCCTGGGTCTTCAGGCTTAACAAGCAAGTTGGATGTCGCTTGTCAGTGGGCTGTCACCTAAGCCTTAGCAATGGGAAGTGCTTAGGTTCTGTTTTTCCTCCTCAAAGGCTACATACAGGACATTTCCTAGTGCTTTGTCCAGTCTCGTTGTCAATATCCTGAGAACTCTAAGGCTTTGGTGGAGTTATGTGCCCAGAGATAAACAGCTGGATAAACAGGTGCTTGGGAGGCTCTTTTAAACAAAACAAGGGAAACACCTTGCATTTCTGCCTTAGAGAAGAGTATTGGTAGGCAGGACAAGCTGGGCATAAACTGGCTATGCTTTTGCCCCAGCCCTGTATGTGGAGGGGCTGGAGCCACAGGGTGCAATGCAGTGATCAATCAGTTAACAAGAGTTATCTGTTTTCTCCTTTCTTTCTGTGTGTAACTGTAGCATTATGCCCATGTACAGTTCTCGGTGAGTAATGGCTGTGCCTTATTGTCTCCTGCATAGAGCCTGTGTGACGTTCTGCAGCAAAGATAAGAAACTTCCCATTTGGCACAAGCAGCACAGGAAAGAAAGGTGGAATGTCGCTCCTCCCCGGTTAACCTCCCCTTCCCAGCCCCTCTGGTGTTCTCCCTTCTCTCTGAGACCATCAACGCAGCATGGGTCCTTCAACAAGCAAGAGCTGAAGGAGGAGGACAAAAAAAAAAAAAAAAGGCAGAGCGATGGAGAAGGGCAGCCCCTGTGAAGACATACTCTGCCATACCGGGCCATTTTTTGCTGCAGTTTATAGGCTGCTAGGTGCCAGGAAGCCATTTTGATGGAATCAAGTGCTGTTTGTAAGATGGCCGCATTGGCATGAGGTAGGTTGCAAAGCTGCCTAATCTTTACCATACTACCTCCCTCATGCCCTCTCCTTGTTATCTTGCTAATTACCGATGAAGGCAGAACAATAACTGGAGCTGGCATGCCCCAGTTCTTTCTCTGCCACCTTCTTCCTCAGGCGGAAAATCTGCACATACACCCCCCCCCCCTTCAGCTCCTCTGTGATATTAATTGAATTAACATATTTCCTAATTTGCCCTGTGTTTTTTGCATGCCTGCTCCCATCCTTCTTGTTGTGCTCATCCAGCTGGTAGGAAAGGAACAAATGTTTTATTTCCATTTGCCCATTCGGCTGCATGCGAAAAATCCTTAATGACATATAAAAGGGGTGGGGCGGGTGGAACAACAACCCATCGGGGATTTGGCACACAGACCTTACAATATACTGAGATAAACCATCTCTGCTGCTGTTTTAGTGGCAGATTAAAATACCCATTTTCCTTGTATTTTTTTATTTAGTTATTTTTGTACTGAGGGAGCAAGGGAGACTCACCAATATTCTGCTGTTTTGTGTTCCTCTCTTCACCTCTTAACGGGCTGCACGTGATTTTTCACTGTCTAAGTTGTCTCCGACAGCCTAGCCAGTGACAGAGAGTGAGTGCCCCTCCATTAGACTCACACACAACAATGACAAAAGCCTTGAAAACCAATTTATTGTTTATTTTTTCCCCTAGTGATTTCAGAAGGCTTTCCCCTAAAAGGAACTTAAATACATATCATTAAATCTAAAGCACTGAGCTCCACACCCGGGAAGTAGGCCGTGCTTTTTGTTTCTAAAAGTATTTGTCCAATTGCTAAAGAGCAATCTAGCAGGAGGAGAACCACCCATCTCATCTTCTCTCTTTGCTTAAACCACATCATGTTTGTATTTACTATTTTATACAATATTTTTTCATTTGTGTCATGCAAAATACATATTGCCCCCCACTTTCCTACTTAATAGGGCTACACATACATGATGATCACTTTTCTATCATTTTTATTAAAAAATGCTACAGTATTTTGCAGTAGTATGCTGAAAAGGCAGCAATAATGTTATTATGAGTTCTAAAGTATGGAGCTTGTGAATATTATGCCTTTTTTATATGGGGAAATCTGAAAGCCATGACTTAAGAATGTAATGCAGAATATAAATGTCATGCATTGTAAATGCATTTCAGGAGCATACTGCCCAAGACAGTATTTCACAAAAGCTGGGAGTCCAAAATGTAATGATATAAACAAACTGTTTGCTCAAGTTGTTCAGATATTAACCAGATTTGCAAGGGTTACAGCTTACATATGCGTTGTTTATTGGTAGAAATGATTCATTTGAAAAAGGCTGATGATAAACTATAAAGGAGCTGAAATGGTACAAGAATGATACTATGGCCTCCCACCATTTAGTTTCTTACTTACATGGCTCTACCTATTGGTCCATGTTCATGGCTATAGACTTAAGCTTCAGATAAATCTATTGCTCTCTCTCACTCATTTTCTTTTCTTCTCTTCCTCACCATCTGCTTCTTGTGGTGCCTTGTTTTGAATCCTACATAACAGTATGGTGGGGATAATGAGACTATGCCTCTGGTCTGCATCATAAACATGCCAACACAAGCCATCATGTCAGGAACTATCATTGACCAGATGGTGCTCAGTTGCTCAGGATTTCTGTTTGAGAGTTCCTTCTTTTTGAAAGCCAGCAAACACCTTCCTGTGCGGGTCCACCAAAATCTACATCCTCTCTCTAAGAAAAACATAGTGAACTCAGACAACCTACTGTGCAAGGGAAACATTTCCAGACTTCATTGTGGCTATACAAGATGCAGATCTAAGTGTCTGTGCCACTGGTGGCCTGATGAAAGGTGCAGGTCTGGAGATGGATGGATGTATTTAGATTTATTCTCTCCGTTGATGTTTGCGTGTACAAAACATTGGGCCTGAGTTTTGGAGGTGTAAGTTGTGTTCTCATGTGAAACTAGGCCTCAACCCATCTGAACTCGCATCCCCCTGCCAGAGACTCCAGAGGGGTGCAGTTCAAGAGCCTGTGCTTTTAATGGTGATTCTGAGGTGATCTTGGTTTTATAGTTTGCTAGGGGTGAGAGGATGCACCTCTTTATTTTCTATCCTTTCTGATGTCTCTTGTGTGCCTGTAAGGAAACCTGCCTACACATATCTCAATAACTTTGGTGGAGGCAGCTGTCAAGAGCGACTGATAAAGCATTGGGCTATTCCTATGAACAATGCCAGGAAGATCCCAGACCAGAGAGAGCCAGGGCCAAATCCTGCTCGCATTAGGCAAATTCAACTCCCACTGGAGTTGCAATGGGTGTGAGTAGGAGAGACTTTGTACTGGAGAGCTCCAAACAGTCAAGCAATAATAATAATGATGATGATTATTATTATTATTACTAACAAATCTAGCTACCGAAATATTGGTTCAAAATCTAAACACTAGAAGTAACTGCTGTTCCCGACTCCAGACAGATGGAGCGAGCCTGGCATAATTACACTTATGGAAGGCATTGAAGGACTGCCATGAATGGAACCAATTAAAGAGCAAGTAAAGCTCTTGTGAGAGAGATGAGGCTCTATGTACAATGAATAATAATCACCCCCTTCATTCCTCTCTCTACATCCACATTCTGTGTCATGGTGGTTCCCAGATACTCTAATTATATGGGCGAACATGTGTGCCTGGGTTCTGGGTTGCCAAGGCTTTGGATGGCTACCTAGCAGTGTGAAAATGGACTAAATAGGAAACATACTAGACTCCCAGGGGCAGGAGCCTCCCTGGCTTGCTGCCAGGCCCAGCTTCACAGTCTTCATTGTCTAATATTTCTAATGCATGCCTGGAAATCCGTTATTTAGGTTACAGTTTTAAAGGCGAGTGTTTGTTTGTTTTTCTTGGAATCATTTGACATTGATTGTGTAGGTAGCTCTTTTGCATGCACATCATGTGTGAACAGGCATGTGTGTCGTGTTTTGTGGTAAGTGTTGGTTGGGTGAGTGCCTGAGCAGAAGGGCTGTGCATGCGAGAACACATATATAACAAGTGTCGATGCATCTCCATCTGAGTGTGTGCACATGTTGTATGCACTGGTGTTTGCTTTACTCTGTTTAATAATTCCTGCTTGCTGTCATTGGTGGGGACTGCTGAATGGGAAGAACCTTCTCTTGGGCTCTGCTAAGGATGGTGCCTTTTTAAAGAGCCAGGGAGTTTGTACAGCAAAACTACACCAATGCAAGGGGTTCCAAAGTTCCATTTCTAGTAGGCAGATGACAAATACCATCACAACTGGCTGGGCCTCTCTTATGAGACTGAATGAGCCATAGAAACCAAACTCTCCTCGTAGCTTTGGGCTGTGACACATGGATTTGTGTGTTTGTGGGGAGGAGCTTGCATTGCTTACTAGGTCTGGGGTAAATTAAGGACTGTCCTCAGTACAGCTGTCTGTCAGAACCTGTCTCTGGACCTAAACTTACTTACTGGGGAGATTTGCCTGCCAGGGACTTTACTTAGGGAAGGAAATGGAAGTGGGACTTGGAAGAGTAGCAGCTAAGCCTATGCTCATAATTTTCTCTAGCCCCTGTCAGTTCTCCATGCAGGGCCAAGTAAAAGTGCTACTAGTATGGTAGTTCCGTTCCACCCCTGTATAATATAAAACCTCCATTTGGCATAACTTACACTGCAGGGGCACATCCTTTATCTCTTTTAGACAGTGAGGCTTTTGCTAATTATAATGCAGATCACATTAGGTAAATAAGTGAGGAATGCCTGATACAGCCAGGAGAGAGTCAGATGTGTTCAGAAGAAATCTCACCCCTCATTGGCTGTTCCACAGCAGGATGGTTGTTTGTAAATTCTGGAAACACTTTGTTCTGATCATACCCACATGTGCAGATCACCTTCCATTCTGTCTATATACATCTCTATATAGGATATACTCAAACAAGCGTCCCTCCAGCCAGCATGGATATGCAGAAACCTTTGGGCTAGAATCAGTAGATCCTAAACTCCCAGCAATGCTCAGTGTGGGCAACCCTCATTATTTTTATTGAGTCTTTTTAAGTGTTTTTCTTAAAGCCCCAGCCCATGGAAGCAAGCAATGGCATCCTTTATTGAAGGGTCTAGCCATCATAGATGCAGACCAAAGCTTGCAAACATGAAGCAAGTGAACAATAAAGCCTCAGAAACTAGGAGGAAAATTTAAAACAAATATATAATTTTTAAAATAAAAAAATCTCATGATTTTTTAAAAACAATCTCATAATTTTTGTGGCATGACTCATGATTTTTGAAAGCCTGAGGTTGGCCATACTGAACTCTGAAAACTGGTTGAAACAGGGAGTAAAGGAGAATCCTGCATCCCATGAAACCACAAAGGGAGTGTAGAGAGGTAGAATATAATTTTACAAATCCGAATGTGGCCATGACAATGGAGTTAACAATAGTCAATGCCAGCCACGCATGCAGCCTCTTTGCTCCTGAGAAGTAACAGGACAGTGTTGTCCTTCAGTGATACAATGGATGTGCAGAACGGGTTTCAGTCAAGTTAGTGTCCAAATATACGTTGAGCAGGAGGAGCTGGTAGTTCACGTCTCCTTAGTTCTGCACATGACTCCCATGAAAATATCATGCAGTTGCCCTCAGAGATGAAGTGGATGGTTGTGAATAACTGGCATGACACAATCACAAGGTGGTTTCTAGGTAACTTGGCCACTGTGTGGCACGAGGCCTCCCCAAATTACACTGTAGTTATGTGTGTGTTTCTAGCTCTCTGGATTTAGGGGAATTTCAGGGAAAGGCTGGGATTTTACTAGCAGCATGATCTGGTGCAAAAGAAATCACCAGCCTCATGAACTCTGTGGCAAATGACCTCTGGAGCTGTCTTTGTAATTTTGGGGGGGATAGGAGGTAGTAGGAAGGGAACATAAAAGTGAGAAACCTGGGCTCCCTTCTCTTTCTGTAGCAGAGAGCGAAGGGAAGGAGAATATG